TTATCCGAGGTATTCACCATGTAGGAAGCATCCAATATGGCAGTTCCTATATTATAACTAAGCTTATGTTCTAGTAGCACAGTCTGCCGCCAGAAGTGAGGTAACTGGGGCTGAGCCAAGGTGCCATAAATATGTCATTCACAGTCTTAGTTTAACGGTTCATAAAATCACATGGGGGTAGGCAAATGTTATACCAAGTTGTTCCTTCTGTTACTTTTCTGGTCCCATCTCGATTGGTGCGAGCCATTCAAATGTCAGTTTCGCCGTGGTATTTATCTTTCGCCATAATTGCATCACCCTGTATATTAACAGTCAGATGCTCTTAGAGTGAATTGAAGATATAGAAACATGCAAGTAGTAGACAGTTTCTAACTGCAAGGTTGAAAAGTAGTAAGTGCATATCAATATTTGGAGTTATGAAGTGGAATTTTGAAGCGGCGACGCCTTTGATGTACCGGCGCCAAGTGTGTGTGAAGTTGAGCCATTCAGCGTTCGTCTCCATTTCTCACGCAACAAATGGCGGCGCCCAATATAATGCAAGTGCTTAACTAGTCTAACGTTTTGTACGTGAGATTATATTAACAGTCCTGCGCCCGATTCTGGACATTTGCTGTTTTAACTGCAGATTTTCCATAATTTCCCGAAACTAGATATGGAATTGCATATCTGGAGGGCCCGACCGGAAACGAGTGCAGAAGTCGTTTCTTGCCGACATTCATGGTGTCATTACGACGGGAATTGCAATTATAATTCTGCAATAATAAGAAGACAAGTTTCATTTATAATAATGAGAATTACTGGGTTTTCGGACTTTGTCCGTCGTCCGTTATCCTAAAAACTAATTGTGTGTATTGCCGGTCACGGTAGCCGAGCGGTCTAAGGCATGCACTGTCTTCGTTCGCTTGAAAACCGGAATCGTGGGTTCGAATCCCACTCAGGGAATGGATGTTTGTGTGCGTTTTTCTGTGTTTGTCTACAGGTAGAGGCCTTGCGACGAGCTGATCACCCGCCCAAGGAGTCCTACCGAATGTGTAAGATCTAGAAAAATCGAAGTGAACGGAATTCATGGAGGTAGGCCTAGGCCCACTGGGGCTGTAGTGCCAAGGAAAAAAAAACATAGTTTCTTATCCCTAGAGTTTTGGATCCTTTGTCATGTTTTATACGTGACTTTATGTCGGTGATCACTGTGTTTGCGAAGAATGATCGCGTGAAGCCGGTGCTGTATCTTCAACCCTTACAATCCAAACTCTCACCAAAAAGATCACACCAACATGAACTTCAACATAACCTCAGCAAATGAACGATGTAATAAGACGGCACTGTGTAGCACAATACGACCCAAAACATTGTAGCGTGTAATGCCGTTGCTATGCAACGACTGCGAGTTAAGCAAATACACCAGAGCAGTTTCTAGGCAGCGACTCGGTGGACACGTTCCCGCAGCAACAGACACGAAAACAACAATGGTACAGCAATAGAAGAACTGTGTTCTCTATGTGGTCTGTGCCGAGGAGATATAACCGGGACAGTTTGGGGCAGCTAGTTAGTTGCAAAGAGTGCTCAGTTGAAAGTCCGGCTGCGAAGAGAAGACTTTGTGTGTGATATCTGGAATGTGTAAGTCAGTGAGACTGTTACAGTTGTCAGTAGCCAGGAAACGGCTAGTGAAGGCTGTAACAGACTGAGAACACTAGTCTATGTGTGACCGTGATCTGTAAGTGTAGTCATGAGTCGTGAGTGTGTAAGCGGTCAACAAATCGAGTCACCAAACCAAATCCTGTCTACAGTCACTCGTACACGTAATAATATGTTACAGCCAATCCAACAACATATATCCATCGATATTAAGGCATTTGAACAATCAAGAAAACATGACTACATTTTGACATACAAGGGAACTCTACTATGAAGCGAGGTTGGTAAAGGTAAATTGTACCTGTTAAGCACCATGTCACGTAGATGCACGAAGGAGTGGAAATATATTCCCACAATTCTTTATAACTGCACTAGATGGAGATAAGCTAGCTTTACGCCCCGGATACTTTACCCTCGGGGAAAGAGCCCCTTCTACCCATTGCATAGAAAACCGGGTGGGCCACACTGTAGGTCTCGACACTCTGGAAAAGAGAAATAATTTGCCATCCTGGGAATCGAACATGGCCCGCCTGGTTCGCAGGTGTGTCGCTATACCGAGTGAGCTATTTCGACCCTTATTCGAGTGGCAACACAAATACTTCCCCATATAAAGGGCGGGAAATGTGGAGAAAAATACAGGAAATCAAGGGTAAAGTCCCTGTGCTTAACTAATTAAGTACTATAACATGATAACATGTGGGGGAGTAGCTGTATACATATTATTATTATTATCATTATTATTATGGCTCTGTAGCCCTTTGTTGGGCCTTGACAGCTTTTTCAGTTTTTTTGATGCCATACACAATCGGTGGGACTTCTTGGACGGGGGATTATCCGCCGCACAGGAGAACACAAACAGAATAAGTGCACACAGACATCCATGCCTTGAGTGGGATTCTAATACACGAACTCAGTTTTCGAGCGGGCGAAGACAGTTCATGCCTTAGAGCGCGCTGTCACAGTGATAGCTGGTGTATACAAATAGACAGGCTGAAGGATGCTGTAAACTTTCAAAGTTCAAGTGGTTTCTGAAAGGTTCTGACAATGACATACAAAGCTCAGTATTACTGTTCCTTTTTACTGGGCCCATTATCCGCTATTCTAAAAACTAGAGAACACAACGGCCGATCGGCTATTAGGCATGAACTATCTTCGCCCGCTCAAAAACACTGGGATCGTGGGATCGAATCCCACTCGTGACATGGACGTCTATATTGTGTCCGTTTAGTCTGTGCTTTTGTTGCTGTGTGTGTAGGTAGCTGCCTTGCGATGGGCTGATCCCCGTTCAAGGTATCCTACCGACTGCGTAGAGATTAAGAAACTGAAAACAAGCTGCCAAGTTCCACAACGGCTGTAGAACCATAGATGGATGGACCGACGGACCGACTGACCGACTGACCGACCGACGGAGGGAGGGAGGGATGGACGGAGGACGGACAGGCAGACCTAGAGACTGACCGACAGACAGACAGATAGACAGTGAACAGGAAGTATCAGAAACTTGGATTGAGGTTAGGTTTTTCTAAGGGACCCAACAGAGTAAGTGTCTCCCTGTCCTCGCCTGAGGATGGAACCAGATCGAGTTTCCGAAACGTGATATTCTCCACTTTTTTTAATGCTGGATGAGGGACAAATTTAAAATAAAAATTGTAATTCTGAGTTTCAGCGTATACTGTGACCCATTACGCAGACCCTGTTGGCGGAAGCAAATTAATAAAAGCTCCCAAATCCGTACATCAGTAGGTACAATTAATTTATAATTTTGGCGATAAAGCCGACCCTGAGAGCACGACATACATTTTTGTAGACAGAAATACATTTAACACACAGCACAGGAGTCTACTACTCACGTTACGAACCGGGTTTCGACAAGCGATACGTCCACTGTTTACTTGGGAGTCGCTTCCTTGCAGTTTATATCAGCTAAGACGACGTGTTGCCATGGTAACCAATTGCTTTTATTCCAATGATGCAGACAGCAGAGAGTAGCTAAGAGGATTATGAATTGAGAATCGGTAAACTGCTCCAACCCCACATTCGCAGAATCGCTAACTCGCGAACTTTCCCGTTCAAGATTTTAAAATGCTGGCCTATTACTCGCTGGAAGACCTTCTGCTTGTCTCGGATGATAGGCAAGACATAATTGGATGCTTCAGGAGCGAGAGACTGATGAAAATCTAATTGCGTTTCACGACATCAAGTTCCAGTACATCTTCCCTCACAAAGGCTCCATGATATGGGCTCAATGACTCAGTAAAGTGAAGTCATGACGGCGAACACAAAATGTAAATTCATTTGAACTGCAAAGGTGTTCAATGCTTAAAATCTCCAAACTGTGATAAACGTGAGGATTTATTTTTCAATCTATCATTCTTTTATAGAGTTACAGCAGGTATTGGCGGCAAGGGTTCGAGCTCACGTCAGGTCATGTGGGATTTGTGTTGAACAAAATGGCACTGGGGCAGGTTTTGTCCGAGTACTTCGGTTTCCCCTTCCAATTCTCATTCCACCGAGTGATCCATATTCCATATCATCCGAGGCTAGTACAGTAGACCAAATAGTGGCCGACGTGCCAATTGGGCTTACTTAGTCTCATCCCACCCAAAGAAATTAAAAGAAACAAAAAAATTACAGGATGTATTCCTCATCAATATACATAACAACAGAAGTCCGTCCGTCTGCCCCACATACTTCCTTGCACACTGAAATCTTCTCAAGAACTGAAGAAAATATTAATCATTAATTTAAGATTCTGTATTGTGTACGGGTGCATAATGAGGAGCTTCATAGCTTGTACACTTCGCCAAGTAAAATTACAGTAATCAAGTCAAGGAGGTTTAGATTGATATGGAATGCAGCACGCATGAGGAAGGGGAACACATATAGAATTTTGATGTGAACGCCAGAAGGAAAAAGACCACTAGGAAGACCAAGAAATAGGGTGGAGAATAATATTAAAATGGATCTTAGATCGGATGGAGTGGTACGGACTGGATTGATCTGGCTCAGGATAGGAATCAGTAGAGGGCTCTTGTGAACACGGTAATGATCCTTCAGTTTTCATAAAACGTCGGGAAATTCTTCAGTAGCTGCACAACTGGCGGCTTCTCAAGACGGGCTCAGCTCCATGGAGTTAGTTAGTATTACAAATGTTAAATTAGATTTATAGGGGCCAAACTGATATTACTGTGAAAATTTTTGTAGGCTCCTCTCAACCATACACAAAATTGTTTCTGAATTGTTTCATCTTATTTACAGACAACACATGAGAGCCGAGAGATGGCGCGCTGTTTCACGCGCATGGGGCAAATGACGCGTAAAAACGTGGAACTGTGTGTATGTAGGTGGTGTAAAACGTGGGTACTCACTTCGCGTGTCCTCATACGTGTCGCGCACCAACTGCAGGAACGGGTTGTCCTTGTAGCCCTGCACGTGATAGTACGCGGTGCTCCAGCAGCGGACAATTCGCACGGTGATGTCTGCAGCCTGCAGTGCCTGTAGGATCGTGGCGCCTATCTTAAGGAACTCTGAGTCTGTTGAGTTCAGGTAGAAGAACGCCACCTGCAAGCAGATATCTCGCTCAATATAACACTCACTATTGTCACGTACTGTTGACTAGAGGAGGGGTGTAGATTGGTAGTTGGATTTATTTGAACCCTTTCAAACCGTAACTACAATTAATTGGAGTGCTACCTATAATTCCCACAATTTACAGTTCAATATGACAAGCAATAAGTCTTATTTGACTTCATTATGTGCTGCCCGGTAACGGCTCCCAACACTTTCCTCTGCTTCCGTTACACAAAGGCTCACGTCCTCACTGGCTGGCGATACTCGCACACCAAATCCATGACTGTAACTCAAAAGTCAAAGTCAAAAAATTATGTTACGACCGACGGTTGGTCGGCTAGTTTGTCTTGGTGTCAAGCTCCCATTTTGGGCTCCAGCCCATATTTTTGTTCTGTCAGGCATTTACGGACTTGTTGATGTGGGACACCCTCTCTGATGAGAGGACGGATCTGCCATTTACAATTGCCGCTGGTACCCACCAGCGCAGTCATTCTCGGGTCCGAATCCAGAGGGATTAGTGACAATATTTTACTGTCTCAGATTCGATATTCCCCGAACCTTGAGGGTCAGATTCCAGTATTTATATCCCCCAGGAACAGGGTGGCCCGGTATTACCGCCAGGCACTGGGTTCCCTTTTCGTCGCTTCCTAAGATTCGCAGGGCTACGGTGGAGTTATTCGAAGCTGCCTCCATGCGGGGTCGGTAACCCATGACTCCATACATAACCTCGGCAAATACCGCATACAAAATGCCACTTCCAGGAGTTCCTCTATTGTTGATTTTATTTGTTGTGGCGATTAAGTGATCTGGTTGCTGTGGAAGCCTGTATACACGGTCGTTTCCTAGCAATGACCGTCTCCTCTGGTTCTGATATTCCGGTTTTGAGCAGACATGTCAAACTATTTTGCTTTATCTCGTTATTAAGATCCAGGGTGTGGCTTTTGAGTAATTTCATTACATTGAAAACACGTTGAGCGGAAATATTTCCAGTACATTTTAATCCCTAGAGTGGGCGAGACTGTGCTCATGTGGTACGCCCACCATTAGAGGGCCTACAGATGATTGGTGAGTACGGAGTCGTCAGTGGAGTGAGAATTGGCAGGGGAAACTGAAATTATAGGCGAAATTCAGCTCCATTGCCACTTTGTTCGCCATATAGCCTACATTACCTGGGCTCGAACTCAGAGCACCGTGGGTCTTGATCCAAAGCCAGGTGGCGTGAGACTTATAAGGGCAAAATTGATAGCTAATTTGTATCTTGCTACCATCCGAACACGTGACATGCGCTTCACTCACATTTGGGAACACGTCCCTTTTTCACGCTTCTTCAGATGTCAGTCTCAAATAATTCTGCTGTCAACATGTCTAACGAAGAGCAGACTCTTCCGAAATACAATGCAATGTAGTCCGACAGAAACTCACCAATATTTCGGAGGAATACATTGCCTCCATCTTCAGGTTTGAAGCGTCAACAAGATGCAGGCGTTATGAAGATCTCGGTGGGGCAGCTGCTTCTCGTTAAATATTGGCTTACTATTCAGCCCTGAAAATGCAGGCAGTACATTCCTCAAGACGTCAGAGAAATTTTCTCAAACTGCACGGTCTAATATGCCAGGAGACAGAACTGTTCATAGTCTCTATTGCGAGAATCTCAAGGGTAAAATTGATTTGTGCTTAACTAATTAAGCACTACGCCATGAAGACTTAAGGAGAAGTGGATGTACAGATCCACAAATTCTTGATTTAATTTCCTTCAAAATACTGTCCATTCGATCCAATGCACTTGTCCAAACGTTTTTTCCATTGCTCAAAACATTTTTAAAATTCATCGCTAGTGATGCCTTTTAGTGCTTCCGTTGTATTTCTCTTTACGTCTTCAACATCAGCAAAACGTTTTCCCTTGAGATCTCTTTTCATTCGGGGAAATAAAAAAAAAGTCGCACGGTGCAAGATCGGGCGAGTACGGGGGGCTCTGTGAGGTGTGGGCATGCGCGTTGTCATGATGAAAGAGCCATCCACTTATTTGCACAAATCGGGACGTTTTCTCCTTAAACTGTTATGCAACATTTTCAGAACTTCCAAATAATAATTCCGGCGATCTTCCAGAATCATTTGACGAATTTTTGTCACATCTTCTTCAGTTCGGGCGGTTGAAGGATGTCCACTTAGAGGTTGATCATCAATTGACATTTCACCACGTTTGAAACGGGAGAACCATTCGTAAATTTGTGTTTTACTCATGGCGGCTTCCTTGTAGGCTGTTTGTAGCATAACAACCGTTTCTGCTGCTAATTTCCTAGAAAGGAAACAAAATTTCACAGCAGCACGTTGTTCGTGTCTATCAGCCATTATGAAATAGACGAATTATAAAAAAAAAATCACTTGGAGAACATTCACCAATTCAGGAAGGTGCTGCAAACAACCACCTTGCGGCGGAAGACTGTACTACAAGCGCCCCGCCTTCTAGAAACAAATTCCGGTTTCTTTTGCGTCCATCTTCGTATAGGAGGCTGTGTAGGGCCCTACCGGGTCTCGGAATTCGATCCTTCAGCCTTCCAGCCTGTAGTCAGCTGCTATGTCTAATTAGCTGTGTCGGCTCCCTGTGAGAACCTCAAACCCAAAACAACTCCCTTGATTCTGTAACGTTGCGCTATTCGGCTGACCAAATAGGAAAGATATAATACTTTTACATGAAGACGGTAGCAGAAATGTTTTCCGGAACTATGCGTTTTATTAAAAATAGTTAGAAGGATAAACATCCATTAGAGAACAAATACCGGGGGGGGGGGAGAAATAGGAGAGAGATATTTATGCAACTGACCCTGTAAATGTGAGATAGGCGGCAAATGCAGCACGCATGCTTAAACTTGAACAGATAATTTCATGATAAGAGGCAACCTTGGAGATGCAGGTATATATTGGGAAGGTAATATTCAAGTGTGTCTCATTTCTTTCCGTGCCAAAATGTGAACTGCTTCATCACTTAGTCTAGTTGGGGAGGCTTTTGTGCCTATGACGACGAACGTTCGAATTCCTTTATAGCAGATAATATCTTGTAATATTAATTAATATTATTGTAATAATGAGTAACTGTCAATTTTCCGAAAAGATGCATGTGACATGGAGTGGAGACATTCTGCTGACATATTACCATGGTTCCTCACTAAGCTAGATAGAGGCAAGGCCTCTAAAGTGGGCACAAGCGTGCATTTAAAGAATTTAAGAGGCGACTCTCGTTAAACGCGTTTCTCAATGTTGCTGTGTGTACCGAGAACGAGTAAAACGGAGAACACAATGATGACTGAGTAAGGCGGAGACGAAAAGAGGGAGCGAGAGCGAAGCGAATCAGCGATGGTCACGTGCACCTCAATGGACATGCGCAGCAGCTTCTGCCGTGACCGCAGACATCACACTGAAATAAAGCCGTGGATAACGAAAACGCGTACGAGAGTCGCCTGTACATATACCTGAGCGGAGAGGTACTTGCCTGTGTCCATTGAAAGTTGAGCAGTACTGAGACGACAGACTTGCTGATCTGTGTATCCGGCGGCCGGGTGCGGGCAAATGTGGGGTATCGGCTCTTGTCCGACGTCTGGTAGTCCATGCAGAACTGCAACACAGAGGGGACATCTGAACGTATCTGCACTGCACTATTCAATAAAGAATGGAACAAGCCCTTGCAGCTTCACAACTTGTCTCATCGCCAAGTATAATTAGAATGATCAAGTAAAGGAGGATGAGATGGGTAGGTATGTAGCACGAGTTGGGGAAAAGAAGAATGCATATAGGAATGCCAGAAGGAAAGAGACCACTAGGAAGACTAAGATGTAGATGGGACGATAATATTAAGATGGTTCTCAGAGAGGTAGGATGGGGCAGTATCGACCGGATTGATCAGGTTCAGAACAGGGCCCAGTGGAGGGCTCTTGTGAACACGGTTACGAACCATAAAATTTTGAGTAGTTCTTGAGCAGCTGCGTGACTGGCGGCTTCCCAAAAAGGGCTCAGCTCCATGAACTTAGTTAAGCCTACTTTGGCTTATTTAAGTTTATCTGAAACAGATATTTGTCAACCGAAAGCAAAATATTACTCATACAGATGTGCTGTCACAATTATTACGGAAGCTCAAAGGTGAGAAATCTTCAAAGAAACGAGCCACGCACGGCTTAGAGCTGCCGATAAAACATCTGACTGCTGAATTCATTCGCACAGGCGGAGATAAACTGTGCTCTATTGGTACTTGGTAAGGTAAATACAAGATAAGGCTATCCCTGTAACAAACCGTGGCGACACATACGGTTGTGAGATGTCGGGGCTCCAACGTTTCCTAAACAATCGGCTCACACACAGCGGTGAGGTTAAGTAAAGCTCTTCCTGTAGCAGGCTGTGGAGGCCCATAAGGTTGTGAGACGTCGAGGCTCCCATATTTTCTCTAGACTATCGGCTCACAGATGGCGGTGAGGTTGTCAGCCTTATGCGCCGGTCGCCCTTTACTCCCAGGAATATTCCTGGTCCTCATTTCTGTTAGAGGCTGAGTTGACCCGAGGGCCATAGTGCGGTTGGAAGGATTAGGTAAATTGAAAAAATCCAATGAACTCATCGGCAATCGAGCCCGTGACCTTCTGGCTTGTGGCACTGTGCCTCAACCAACTACGCTACACTAAACTCTTCAACCGAGGAGGCAGAAAAATGGCCTGATTAATCAAGCCAGTCACGAAAGCTGGTGTCCTGTCCGAAATTACATTCAAAAATCTTCCGAATATAAGTCTACAGTGCCAACACAACATTAACATGCAACATTAGTTATTTATTGTTTACGGTGCTTGTTGAAGATAAACGTAGAAGATTAATTCCTACAGACGCAGTTGTAAGTCTTCAGATTTTATTAAAGATCAGCAGAAAATGTGCACGAAAATAACTATGAAAACAACGAGGCATCCTTTTCAAGAGACCATTTGTGACATTGCGTAGAAAGCTTATTTTCTACAATGAGGAGTTGTAAGCCCCACGCCCAATCCCCAAGCTGGAGCACTACTCCTTGTTGGCTGTCTGCGGCTGCTTATTCAATATATTCGCATCTACCCTCCATATCTGGAGGCCGTCTTATCCACCTGCAATCTGAGGACCCGTCATGCCGTGTTGACAAGAGACCCACCTAATATTGCTGCCATTCAGTCCAGAAGCATTTATCTCCCCGTTTGCTGTCCAAGAAAGGTAAATATTAGAATAAACAGTACTATAACTTTGCCTGTGGTTCTGTATGGGTGTAAAACTTGGTCTCTGACATTAAGGGAGGAACACAGACTGAGGGTGTTAGAGAACAGGGTGTTGAGAAGAATATTTGGACCGAAGAGAGATGAAGTGACAGGAGGTTGGAGAAAACTGCATAATGAGGAGCTTCATAACTTTACTCTTCTCCAAGTATAATTAGAATGATCAAGTCAAGGAGGATATGAATGGGAAAGCATGAAGGATGAAGCATGAATGGGAAGAAGAAGAATACAACTAGTATATCGGTGGGAAAGCCAGAAGGAAAGAAACCACTGGGAAGACCAAGACGTATGTGGGTGGACTTTATTAAACGAATCTTTGAGAGATAGGATGGGATTGTGTGGATTGGATTGATCTGGCTCAGGATAGGAACCAGTGGAGTGCTCTTGTAAACACGATAATGAACATCCAGGTTCCATAAAATGCTGTGAAATTCTTGGGTAGCTGCAGAATTGGCGGATTCTCAAGAAGGGCTCAGCTCCAGGAAGTTATTTATTTTAAGAGCTCTTCAAAGTGGCAGAGCTGCCTAAGGCATCTAATGTCTTAAATTCCTCGAACATCTGGGTCGAGGGTTTCAGTCCCACTCGAGGCATGGATTTTCCTTCTATGTGTTGTTCTGTATGTAGGTAGCGATCTTACGACTGGCTGATCCCCCAGGTATCCTGACTGAGGTTCTTCGTGTTTTTCTCGGTTCCTGAACGTTAGGTTTCTACTGCTTTTCTCTAACTTCCTTCTGTCTCTCCACTTGACGTTACACAGTCTAGCTATTGGCGGAATAGTAAATTAGCCCTTCCACACAAAATCGTACTTCGCTATAAAACACTGCAATAATGTTCACGCGCTCGTATTCCACTTAGTCAAAAAACTCCGTGGCCTACAGTCCGCAAGCGAACTATACCGGCCGAGCGACCACCGCTTGTCGGCGAAGTTAGTGCCAACTTTAGCGGATAGATGGCGTCACGTGGTCAGGGCAACGGTTCCCCACGGCCGTTAATTTCGGTTTTCTAGACCGGAGCCGCTATTTCCTTCAACTGACCTTAATATTGCCACGTAGTATGGACTGACTGCCGGCAGGGTTGTAGATTGAGGATTGGATTCAATGACCAGTTACTACAAATAACTATAACACTTCCTAAAATTACGAAGCTTAAATTTGGTCACATTATAATACGCGTACAAACATTAATACTTAATACAAATTTAAAATAATTCAAACTCTTTTTGTACCGTTCATTTCTTCATGAGACTCCTTCATGTGACGCCTTCCCACTTGTTCTATTTGAAAATTAATTTCTGAAAGCGTCCAATTTATAGGCAGTTGGTAGAACCTTTTGGATTTGGGATCGGCCTCTTATAAGGCCTCCACAAACACACGGAAAGACAAACACAGAATAAACGCGTACCTACCTACGGAGATCCGATTCGCATTAAATTGTGTGTACTGTAATATTTACAAGAAATTTTGGGAACTCAAGAGTCAAGAGTCAGCGTTACTTTACGACGGGCAGTTTACCGCCAATCAGTTCATCTTAGCGAAAAGCCCTGTGATATTCACGACCAGTAACTTTATTTTCAAACTGAACACTTGCGGCTATAGTCCTTATGTAACATCTTCTCTGACGAGAGGATGGGTATGTCATTTACGACTGCTGATGGCCCTCGCCAGCGCAGTAATTCTCAGGTTTGAGTCTCGTTAACTTATAACCACCTTTTCGTCGCCTCCTGCGACTCACAGGGAGATATTCGACCCAGTCTCCACACGGAAAGAGAGGCAGAGAATGTGTCAGCGTTACGTTTCTTATCAACGGCCGTCTATTCTGGTTCCACTATTCCGGCTTTCAAGCTTTAGTGGGGGCTGTATGTTCCTCCGAAACGTAGGTTGACTTCTACCGCACTACATAACGTTGCATCCAAGAAGAGAACCGCCATATTTAATCAAACGCTGCGTCTTAGAATCTGGAGTTGTATTTGCAGCTGAATAAAGACATAAAGCTTTTGGTAGTGTTGCAGTAAGTTCTTCGAATATTCACAACGCATACGTTACGGAAAGCATTTAAAAAGAATATGGTATAAATAGCCAGTGTGCTGAAATGAACATCTGTGCTGAAGGACTGCTTCACCGCATTACACGGAGCACTTTGTGACAAAAGCGAGAGACCGCAGACCAGTGATCGCCAGTTCGCCTCATCTCAAAGAACCTTTCGAAACAGTATCAACAGCACTCGGCTTCGCTTTGAGGGGGGTCAACGGACAAGCGACGATTTTAACGCGTGTGGGCGATGCTTCTGAGAATCGGGTCCCCGAAGTGTGTAACTGCCTGTCTGAGGAGGCCCTGTGGAGCTCATTGAAAAGCACACACACACACAAACACACAGCTGTAGTCTAACACCTTGCCCAAAATTGCATATTACATCATATTCTTCAATTGAAGCCCTCCCAATATTGACATCAAAATACCGCCTAACTATAACCCTCCCAACATCAAATAATAAAAAAAATAATACATTCCTCCCAACGCTAAATTGAAAATTCATACGTAAAGCTTTCCCTGTAACAGACCGTGGAGGTCCATAGGGTTGAGACATCTAGGCTCCCACATTTTCCAGACAATCGGCTTATGGATGGAGGTGAGGCTGTTAGCCTTATGCTCCGCCCGCCCTTTACTCCCAGGAACATGTCTGTAACTCATTTCTGGTAGAGGCTGAGTCGACCGCAGGGCCATTGCACGGCTGGAAGGATTAGATCTGTTGTAAAATCCAATGTCATTGGGAATATATTTCATTACAAATAACGGTGGAAACCCCACTGCTAGACTTTCATCTCTGGGGCAACGATTCCCTAGGCATCGCTAGCTAGGAATTGCTAGGCGTTCACTAGTAATGGACGTCTTATAGTCCGGCTTTCAGGCAGCACGTCACAGTAAACATTGAACAATGTGGGAGAAAATAGCAGAAAAGTAGAGAGTGAGTGTAAGTATTTTACTTGATGATGAAAATAAAGAGTCGAAACATATTGTAAAATAATATATAAAATTTATGTACGAACTATGGCAACGGAGCCAATAATAAGCTATCCACACAACAATATGGCTCTGAAATAAAATGTTCCTTAAAGGAATACGTTTTAGAAAACATGTTCTGGGTTTAACTGGCTTAGGATAGCCATCACTGTTGATCGCTTGTGAACGCAAACGATTGTAAGCATCTGGGATATGAAGCCGTACAGTCTGGTAGACACATCTGACCACTTGTGCAACACGTATTATCTGTCTGTTTTCAATTTACTTGCTACGTATGTGACCTCGAAAGGTTATGTAGATCGTTCAGAAAGTAAAGACCG